AAAAAAATCACTAGCTGTTTCTTAAGAAAAGAACAAAATGGATTTTTGCACCCAATACAATGATTGCATCTATCATGGCATAGCCCTGCCCTTTTAAGCAAACTAAATAAAGTGGTGGTATGAGGGAAAGTGATACTGAACAGGACAGCTGCTCTTGGCTCCCACTGGGAGGAAGACACGCTCCCAATGATTTCAGGCATGAGTTGCTCTCAGCAGCCAGGGAGCCAACTGTCACTGGGGGCTCTCACAGGGAAAGGTTAGATTCTGCCTTCTGGTAGGATACAGATTGAGAAACTGGCAGTGGCACTCAGGGCGAAAGAGAAATAGGATTCTCCATCAATTGGGCAAGAAATAAAGCAGCTCTCCTAGTATCTTTAGGAGTTCGGCAACTTCATTGTGCCTCTATAGCAACACAATACATCTTCTCTTAGTCCCCATGGAGAAAGCAGTAGACAGTGTTGTGCTGGGAAATTAAGAGCAACTCAGACAAACAGAACTGGCCACAGACACTGGGCTCTCAACAATCTGCAATCATGCAAACTTGGGGAAGTTTATGTGCAAGGAGAGAATCTGGTTTCACAAAATACACCTCATAAAAGATTATAAAAGCACAATACCACAGAGGAACAAAAAAAGAGACCCTAGGCCTAGACAAAGGCTCTAATTATGGCTGCATAACTCTCTGATAAACTGAGGGACAGAAGGACAAGTATAAAGAATGGAAAAAGGACACATAACCAAAGCAGAATACCAACAAACAGTTCAAATCTGAATGGATAGAGTCAGGAAAGCTAAGGATCTGAATAAACTAAGACTTTCAACAAATGCCAATAATAATAATAAAAGTTTATTTCAATATGTAAGAAGCAAGAAAAAAGTCAAGGAACGATCAGTCCACTAATGGGAGAAGATGGCAAGGAGGTGACAAACAGCAAGGAAAAAGTGGATCTGCTTAATTTATCCTTCGAATCTGTCTTTAGGGGGAAAAAATCAACTATCAAAAGCATCACTATAGGAGACAGAACAGGAATGCAAGTCAAAATAGGCAAGAACATGGTAGTAAAACATCCATCAGCTCTAGACAGATACAAATCTTCAGGACCAGATGGATTACATCCAGGATTTTGAAGGAGCTGGCAGATGTGATCTCTTAACCACTGAATAGAATCTTTCGAACTGTTAGGGGGGAAAAGTCTTGCTATATCACGTGACCCTGCTATGATGTGAGTTTGACCCCCCTGACATACTATACCTGTGCATTTGGTTTTTCTTGCCTAAGTATAGGATCTTATTTTTCTTATTGGATGGGGCCCATTACTCTAGTGTCAAGATCCTTCTGAATCTTAAGTTTGTATTCCAAGATGTTAGCTATTCACCATAGCTGGGGGTTGTCTGCAAATTTAATAAGTTTCTCTTCTATCTTCTCATCTAGATCATTTATGAAAACGTTGAAGTGTACTGGGCCTATGGTAGAACCTTGAAGTACCCACTGCATGCTTCCCTCCATGTAAATGTAGTTCCATTAGTCCTGAACTTTATGTGACACTATTTCTATGAATGCAGGAAAGAAAAAAAAACCATAATTTATCAATAATTCTATACAAAGCCAATAACACTACTTTTGTTACAATTCTATGCAAAATATTAGTGATTTTTATGGTATTGCTTTTAACGTCCAACTTTCAAAAATCTAGTAAGCAAAAAAAAATCATGACTTTCAAGCATTACGAAATAAATTTTGGGAGGATTATATAACTCATTATTTTGCTTAGACTTTGAGTACAACAGAATCTTAACCACCTATACTGGGCTGGTTTTCTCCACACAATTACTGTATGTCTTAAATCTATTAGATTTGCTTCTCATAATAAAACAGAATTGCAGTAACATCTACCCATCCATTTTTTACAGTCTTGAATGAAAACACAGAATCCAGTAAATGGTGTTTCTCTTTTATTTAAAAACAGTGCTTCATTACCATTTGCAAAGGATGAAGAAAGACTCCACCTCCCTTGCTTAGAGTTTATAAAAGCCAGCAACATGATCAATAATTTATACACATGGATAATACAAAAAAAAAGAATAAAAGCTAAAGAGCTAACTACTCTGACCTTCACAATTCCAGCTACTTGATAATAATAAGAGTAACCCAATGAATACTGTATGGTTTGAAAGCTACTGTACAATATGATACTTGAACAGGGGCAAGGGGAGGGAATAGGGATGTTAGAGATTGCCACAAAGTCCTGGGATGCAGCTACTACTTTTCCAGAGTCAGTCAGGAAACAGGAATCTGGTCAAGTAGCCTGGGCATCCTGGGGAATGATCCAAGGAGAGGGGAGCATCTAATTACAATGCATCCTATGTCCCAAAAGTACCTGGCAAAGAAGAAGTGCAATAGATACTGCACCAAGAGCTAAGCCAGTTCAGGGCATATTAGATCTTCTTCTTCTGACATTACCAAGTCTGCTTTGGTGGTCAGTAACCCTCTGCCATCTTGGGACTGCCCTACAGTTCTGCCTCAACTTTTGTCATCATGCCAGGGTCACGCCCCAGGTATTTACAAACAGTACTAAAAACAAAACAGAAACAAAACAAAAACACCAAATTAAAACCCAGTAAGATTACTTTATCACTTATTGAATTCCAGGCAAAAAAGAGCTGCCAAAACGGTGACACATCACTCTACCGAATATATAGACTAAATTCCTTCACAGCTGCTTCTCAAAGCAACTGCAAAATGCACTTGAATATTCTGCTCCAAAAGAGAGAAAACCAAGTACGAGGCTTCTGATTTTCCTTTAAAGAAGTCAATAATTAATTGACATGAGGCAGACTACAAGTCTTAATGAATACTTCAGTGGACGGCTTTAAGAAAAAATAAAGTGGCAGCAAATCTGCTATTGCTAAGGACCGGGCCATTACTCAATTTTCATTCTTGTTAACAGGCAGTGTTTAGGTTCTATATATCTAGAAAGCCTGACAATTGTCCAAGGCTTGAAGTATCATCTGAGCTAAGTAACTGCAGAGGACCGGTGTTGGATTGTTTCTCTACCATCATGGCAGTAAGTTCTGCAAATTGAGCACTTATGAAAATTTGCTTTTCAGAAGGGGTGCCAGGGATACAGTCCAAATCTTGTGGTTATATAACCAAATAGGCAGGGAAAACGGTACACTGAGGAAATACCCTAAAATATTAATAGTTTAACTCTGACTACCAGAACACAGTTTGCCTCAATAATTGGAGATTTAGTTTCATTAGACTGTAAATAAAAACCTTAAAATAGGGTGGGTGAATAGGAAATGGAGCAGAAAAGGTTGGGTTGACAATAACAGTAACATCACCCAAATAGTGTTTTATGCAACAATGCAACGACAACAACAAAAATCAAGTATACTGGCGTATACTACAATCATGTTTGAAATTATCAGGAGAAAATCAGAATAAAAACACACACAATGTTACATTGGTTATTAACCTTGTCCATTAGCAATTTTGCCTTCCTATTGTAAAACCCGTTCAGACAGTCAATACACTCCTAAACCTGTTCTCCACCCCACCCCACCCCACTCCCCACTGCAATGGATTCCTCAGATGCTAGCATGCTGGAGAATGACATGCACATTCTATTTCCCAGGCTGCCTGCACACTCTTTTGCAGCACAAGACACATCCATCCCAATCTGGTCTTGAAAGCTGAAGTGTCCTGCTATATATCTACTAGACATCTATAAATGGAGGTGGTTGGAAGAGGATTTGTAAAGCCTTGAATTTGTACCACCACCTATGAGGATGTCTCAACTGTTCTAGAAATCAGAGGGTAAACATTATTTTACTAAAAGTTTGCTTTGTTGCAAAGTTAGTTCAGGCTTTGAAAAAATCAAGAGATAAGGTATTTATAGGAATAGTGTACTTCATCACATATTTGTGTTTCACAAAGAGGCGAATGCTTTGTTCTTTCATTTTATAGCTAAGGAATTAGACTAGAGATATTTCTTGGCTAAAGGTGCCTTACAGGGCCAGTGATATTACTCAAGTGACAGCCAGGGTGATTTGAGTGTCAATCCAGGAATAATCTGTAAAAGGACTCCACTTTTCTTTCATGAGGAAAAATTAATAAAATTATGGAACTTGGAGGATTTATCAAGATTGCATTCAGTCTTCCTTTTGTAAATAAAAAATAATTTAATCCAAGAATTGTGTTAGAGCTCTGCAGATTGTATCTTTCTCTATATCAACACAAGATTCTTTTCTTTGTAATTCACTGTGGAACTCTGATGTGTCTTATTCGACAGGCAGCAGTAAAATCACATCTTCCTTGAGATGAATGTAGCTGGAAAATCTGTTTTTCCTTCCTCATCTCCACAATTTTGTGACAGCTGTAATATTCCTATTCTCTTCTCATTTTAAGCTGGATATACAAAACAAACTTAATAACTGTTATAGCAGATTATCTTTTTAAAAAGTGTCCAACAGTCTAATAGCTTAGTGCCCACTTTGCTCAGAAAAATTGACTCTTTCATTAAGATCTCATCTTTAGCAGTCCACACAAATCTCTGGTAAGCTAAAAGAGAACACAATGGTAGTGGAACTAAAGATCATGAGTTGTATATGACTGGAACAGTGGACTTATGTGATATCACTGAAGGTTTTCAAATCTCCTTGCCCATTTTGACATCACTGTGGAGCAAAAGATAATAGGGTTTCATCTACCCAACCACTTATTTCTAGTTGAAAAGTCCTCCGATACTACTTTAGTGCGATGAAGAAACAGGGAATTGTGCTTTTGTAATGGGTATGGCTTTAAAGTTATACAAGATGGTACGCTTGATCATAGCCAAAAGTCTGAAATGATGGACTTTAAGTTAAATCAGTGGGGCATCTGCAGGAGATGTTGGGAAAAAATAATGGAAAAGTACAAGAATAAAAAAGGATCCCTTATGCTATTCTAACGTCTATAATTAGTGGCAAAATATTTGAGAGCCTTGGTTTGCTTGTCATCCAATTGCATGCATTATCAATTTACAAGACTTCCAACTGTAGTAGAAGAATGAGTATTTCAGGAAGATATTCCAGCATGGGACAATCTTCAGGCTTAGAGTTTTCCTGAAGCCCTTTTTCAATTCCAGAATGGCAGTATTGACCCAATTAAGCAGTTTGTCTTCAGATGGGCAACCAGTAAGACTCTGGTTGCAAATCAGAGTAAATGTTAATTATGCCTTTATGTTATGTTTGAAAATAGTTCATTTCCAGATACCAATGCTAACACAAGCATGGTTTCCAAATTAGTGTTATGACAAAAGGAAGAAAAAAAAAAACCTCCTACTCCCACTGCTTGCCTTACTTTTCTGGTCCAGAATGCTTTTTTCTTTATGCATTTTTTTAATAACATACTTGCAGCAAAGATAACTACCTCAGGGTGAAAAATGAGAATCTTGTACAATGGAGTATCAAAGTAGCAAGCTTTTCCCATAATCACTAGTCCAGAACCTCAGAATATGTAGATCTGTGCAATTAAACTCGGTTTTTCTAAAGAAAAAAATTATTTCCATCATGGCTCCAAATTCAACAGTTATTGTCCCAAACACGCTATTCCATCAGAAAAGAGGGAAGAGTGGGAAAAGAAGAAAACCAAAGCAACGGAATGATTAAAGTAAAGCTATGGTAGAATGGATCATAAGAATTAAAGATAGGAGTTATGTTTTTGTTATGTGCCTTGTCCTCTAAAATCATTATTAGATGAAGTCTTTGGGCAGCTTTGAGTAGTTTTGTCTTGAAAATTATAAAAAAAATCTTGATGTTGCTGGAGCACAGTCCTGAGCCCATATAAGTGCCAGCTGGTGATAAAAGAGGAGGGTCTTTGTGTTTCCAAGGAGCATGCAGGTTCCAGCTGCAGGCAATCAACGTTACCCCCATTCCCCCAGCAGAGGGAGCTCTTCCTCACTATTCTGGCTCTTAGGCATCAGACCCAGCAAAAATATCTACATATTCCTGACTACCTTCCATGATATTGAAGCCTAACAGCCCTCCTTAGCACTATTTATCTCTTTTTGTGTGATTGGTAGGATAAACTATGCATATATAGGACACAAAATGCATTATGTTTACCACAGTTAAAAACAAACAATTGAAAAAAAAAGATCAAAAAATGCACAATCTTTGGAACAAAAGAATTAAAGGCAGAAATTTAAAGGAAAATACATATTTAAAGAACATAGTGAGGTATAAAAAAGTATTTCTCTTGTTTTTTTTCTTTTGTTTTCCTCCTCTTCTTGCTATAGAGTTCCTCTACTAGTAAATATTGCAATAGCCAGGCCTCATGAACTGGGGGGAGGGAGCTGTCCCACTTGCAGGGGGGAAGGGCTCATGTCACTTCAGTAAGGGGCAAATCGGCTGTAGCCACCTCGGTATAAACTTGCCTGCAAAAGTTGATAAAAAAGAGGAAGTTTAGATTTTTTTAAAAAAAGAACAATGCATGTAAGACCCATGCAACCCCTATATGATTTAAGAAGCTGTAGAATATCTTCTTTTAAAACTGTTTCCCTGGACTCCAATTGACCTGGAGTTGGGGTGTCTGAAAGTCTGGACCCATATTTGTCTTCTGGATCAAGAACATTAATCCTAGATTATCTCTAGCAACTTTTCTCCATGTTTTCCTTGAACTAAATTTCTCTTTGTCCCTGGTTCTGCAGTTCTTTTACTGTTCTTCTTCCTAGCCAATTTCTACAAATTTAAAAACATGAACCTCCTGCAAGTTGTCGTAAGAGTTTTTAAAATGCAAATCAGAAGATTTGCAGGCAGACTGCTCTATGATGATGATAACATTTGAGAACATTTAACTTTGAAAAGGAAAGTAGCCAGGTCCAAGTCTTATTGCTCAGCTTGCTAACAAAATTAATGGGATTAATGAACTCCAAGTCCTTCAGCACCAGTATACTCATTACCAAGGTTAAAATCAATTATTGGCTTCATTAGTTTAATTTGTAATTCTTCATTAAAACAGAAACCAGAACAACAGCAACAGATACAAACAAAAGAATAAATTATCCCCTTTGATGTTTGAATGCCAATGTACATGACTGGAATATGGTAATAAATCTCAGACTGTATTTGAGACCAAGCCTGGGAATAATATTATGTCCAGATTTCACTTCCCATTTGGGGATTTGACCACAGCATTCCCTTTACAGTGGGACTGGTGGTTGGCATTAACCTCCTCGTACCCTTGTATTACTTTCCTATTCATCCTAGCACCATTTAGCAATTAACCAGTATGCTGAATAACCTTTTATTATAGAACTTCTGAGACTATTCAACGGCCCACACTGTAGACAATATAAGTGATCTTCATTTAATGACCATTCATTCAGTGGCTGCTCAAGCTTAAGATAGTGCCGAACAAGTAGTTAAAACCTTACTCTTATAGCCATTGCAATTTCCCGAGCTCATGTGATCACAACTTGCAAACTTCCCTGCCAGCTTCTGACAAAGTCAATGAGCAAGCTGGCAGGAAGCTGCAAGTGAAGTCCTTGGTTAACAATGTCAAGAGACTGCTGGAACTACCTTTCATAAGTGACATATTGTTGTGGGTGTTTTTTTTAAACTTATGACCATGTTGCTTAATGGCAGATTTTCCAGTCCCAATTAGCAGTGTTAAGAACTGCCTGTGCTTCTTGGAAAAAGTACAAAATCACCACGGAAGAGAAAAAGCCATACTTACCACAGCACCAACTCCATAGCTAGCTGCAGGGGCAAGAGCATGGTAAGGGTCTGCTGTGTATACCCTGCCGTAACTAAAACAAAAAGAGGGGTGATAGCAAGAAAAAAAGTCACTTCAATAAAGGCTTTTCTCATCAGAAGAAATGAAAATCTATAACTTCCTGGCTCCACCTAACCTCTAATTTCTTTTCCTCCATATCTAAAGGTTTTGTTTAACTCTACAGGAACTATTGCATTGCTATTCTATTGGGCTAACCCCAAGTACTCTGTTGTGGTTCGTTGACTGCCAGCGGAGTTAGAGGAGATGGAGGGGGTACCTGGGTTACCATCGGGGCCGGCATAAGGCTCTGAAGAGCAGGAGGTCTCAGAGCCAGATGCAGAGCAGGGCTCATCTGCTCACGTTCAGTTTGAGAGATAGCTGTTTTCAGGGCCTGAGCTGAGTGAGGGGAAGGAACTGCTGGGCCTTGTCCCAGATGTGCAGATGCACAGAGAAGTGTGGAGAGGAGAGCAATGGAGGACTGAGGGACAGCTATCCAGGAAAAGACAGAGATGTTAACAAGCCCCTCCCTGGCCGGGATATAAGGAGGAGGGGTATGGGAAGCGTGGTTGTCAGAGACAACCGTTCATGCTCCAGAAGAGTTCCCTCCAGCAGATTCCTTGCCACTAACCAGGCTGGTCAGGATTCTTTGTGTTGGGATTGAAGTGCTAATTGAGGCTCCCTGAAGGGAACTCAGAGACTGCTTGCAAGTCACCTAAGGATGGGTGACCTGGAACTTTGTCAGTGAATGCAGTGCATTCCTGCCTTTCTAAATAAAAAGAGGTTTCTCCTCGTAAGTAGGCTAAGTAGGTTGAGTGGGGCTCGTGAAAGCCGAGTCAGAACATACTCATAATACTTGAAACAAAAAGGCTTCATTTTAAAAGAAGCACTTTTCACATTGTGGTGGTGGTGCTTGGGCATGGGAAGATTGGCCTATCATAAATATGTGTTGAGTTTTATGCTGGAAAGGTATCCTTTGTATAATAAAGTTTCATAATTTTAGACTGAAACATATATAAACCTATAAGATTTACATTAAAATTGAGACAGCTGAAACTGATCATCCCTGGGAAATAAGTATGAGCAAATCTTGCAGGAAAATGAGGCACCAATCAGGCTGTCCATTTGAAAAAGTGCTCTTATAGTATACCAAGTCCTTTTAGGTGCAACTTCAGAAGTTATCTATTATCGTTGTGACAATAACACCAAAAAAGACACTGGAAGGTGTTTGAAGACGAAAGAGCAGTACAAGAATGAAAGTATAATGTACCGTGCTTTCATCCAAGGCTTTATTATGTCATTCCTACTTATGACATCTATCTGTCCTTAGATATAAGGCTTGTCATCAAAAGTGTTTTTAGTTGCTTAGCCAGTGTACGTAGCCTTTTCACAGGTAGAAAAAGAGTTTTATTCTCTCTTATCATTACCTTAATGACAAACACACTAAAAGGCAAGATAAGAAACAATGAAGGGAAACTAACCAAGAAGAGAGCAATCTAGAACTGAGGAGAAATTTTATAACGGTGAGAGCAATCAAGAGCAATAGCTTGCCTTCAGAAATAGTGGGTGTTTCATCGCCGGAGGCTTTCAAAAAGAGACTAGACCACCATTTATCTGAAATGGTTGAGGCAGAGGGTTGGACTAGAAGACCTCCAAAGTCCCTTCTAATTTTATTATTCTATGTTCTAATGATTGTGATTCTAGAGATCAATTATGCTAAGCTACACAATAACTCTCAAGACACTGCTGTATGTACAAGTCAATGATGTATTATTTGTATGGCCATAGATTATTGCCAAAATATGGAGCATAGTATAATTCATCCCTAATGACAATTTTAAGTCATTTTCCAACTTCCATCAAAGCCAGGGCAGGGCACCTGAGGCAAAAAAAAAAAAAACCCTTACGATTGGGGGTTATTGGTTGTGCTTGAAAACAGCACAAATTCCCTTAAAAATGGCAGCAGGGCTATATATTGCTACCCTAAAGGCTGTTTTGTCTACAGACAAGAACAAGGTTGAATACTGATCCTGATGCATGACTGCTATCCCTTTTGAAAACACATAAACCGTAGGCATATAACAACTGTTTTTAACTCAATATTTCCTAGCCATAAACCTGGCGGCCATGCTTTTGGCATTTGCAGCAAGGACACATTCTGAGGAATATGAGGAAATATACTGTACTTTTAAAACAGCGTATTCTGCAGACACGAAAACCACACCTTTCCTTACATACCCATCACTGTAAGCTGCTGCAGCAGCTGCAGCAGCAGTGGCTGCTGTTGCAGTAGCGGGTTGCGCATATCTGTAGGCTGCATATCCACCCTGCAGGGGAAAAAAAGAACTGACTTTATAGATATCTTTCTCCTTAAACAAAGTGGGCTGATCTACACAACACAGGTACAGAGGAAATGTTTCAAACTGCATCAACTCCCATGTCACATTTAAATTATGAAAGCATTCCCTGATTCTCATATATTTTGCTATCTCCCGAATGCATTACCCCATCAGGATAATTCCATCAAATGGAAAAGCCTATAGTATCGTAGTACTTGTAGGTCAATTTATGAACAAGAATATCAAAAATAAAAATGCTAATACATCTCTTTAGTCCACTCTGATCATAATCAATATAAAAAAGTCTTTTGGAGGAAAACATTGTTACCCACCAAAGTTGTCCATAATAAATCTTCTAAGATGTTTCCAGGGCTATAAATTCAAATCCAACACCCACACAAACTAATGTTTAGAAAATGAATTTTACATATGGAAATTATATTAAAATGAACTCAGCAAAACAAGTTCTTTATGTCTCCAATAATCTAAATACCATCTTCCTTCCTGTATCTTCTGTCCTGCAGTCTCTTCCTTGCCAATTCCTTTACTTAATTTAGAACTTAATGGCTTTAAATTCACTGCTACATCATGATCTCTTTTTTTCTTGCCAAAATCTCTGTAATAGCTCATCTGATGTTGTACATCAGATTGTAATGCTTAACCTTTAAGAGTCTTCATTTAACTACATATGGCCTTCCTTTTATTTTTGTCTTATGCCTGGGACATCATAATCCTGTCTCAGTAAAAGCAAATCTTTTTCCCCTTTTACATTTCCTACAAACCACGGAAGCTGCCTGATGCTCCTTCCAGTTTTAATTATTTCCTATCTATCATTTATTTTTGAAATAGGAAGCTAGTGTGGTACAAAGCAACAGAATCTGTCTTTTTAAGAATGCATCTGGGCTTAAAAGCAATTATCCAAGAAATGATGGGTTCCTGCAAAGGGATTTTTCTTCTGATAAACATAAATGTGCATATATGTATGAGTTGTAAACTTTCTTACTTATTTACTTGGCTCATGTTCACCTTGGCAGCCATTTAGTAAATGGGCAAGCGTTCAAAACAGCCATTTTGTGAGAATATTCATGACAAGTTCTCAAAACTACAAATGTGCCTGTTTGTCAGTCTGGCACAGAACTAACTTTAGCGGGTCTGGTTTAAAAGTAATTTTTTAAAGAAGGGACTTTGTTCAGTTATTCATATTACAGAATAACCAGCATGTTTTAGCTATTTTATCATTAATATCCGAAAACTTGTTTCCTTTTAATTTGTAGTTCAGCTAGATGTTGGAAGAATGAATTTATGAAATAATCTTGTTTTGGTGCTATATTTATTATACTGTTGCTTTAAGAATTAACCAGTGCAATCTTTATGAAAAGAAAGCAGATACCTGCACATTTCATTGTAATTTCAGGGCAGAAATACCGGTATTTAAGATAACCAGTGTAACAATAACAAGCTTCAAACTGTAAAAATCCTGTGCCCAGAAATCTCACCTCACTTAATCTATAAGAGGCCTCTGCAGACTAAAAGTCATGGCAGCAAATAATTATAGTCTTGAAATTATATCAATTAACAATTAGGTTTAAAGAACAGTGTTAAACTTTAGAAGACTGGATGTTTTGATAATTAGCAAAAAATATGAAACATGTAAAACTGAATAAAGATTCCTCTGAAATTAAAAAAAAACAAAACAACCCCAACTCTCATATTCAGCAAGCCAATCTAAATTGGCTGATTGAAATATACCGTTTTTCTATTATTTCAGGCCCACATAGAATTATCAAGCACAGGAATCAGCCTCAAGGGCATACAATACAGAGAAGTAATTTTTCCTTCCCTAATAGTTGTATCAACCATTAATAGTTGTTGTATCAAGTAATTGTAATTACTATTCCAAGTGCCTGTTTTAATTAATTTTACTGAGTTTTGAAGGTCTAAATGCAGAGGAGGAGAAATTGGGAATGAAGATCCGTATGTGTTCATGGTATACAATAAGATTTTTCATGAATGTAAAGTAAGCAGGAACAAAGTGTTATCTTCTCTCTATCCAGCTATTACAAGGACATTGGTAGCAGTTACTTTTTTGTTCAGTAATATTGTTAAACATTACTAGTACAAACCAAAAACTAAATTAAAAATAATAAATGCAGAAATAAAATTAAAAAAGAAAAAAAAGAAGAATATAATAATGGGAAATCTATAGCAATTACTATAGAATAGTGAGGCTCTTCCTTTTCAAAAAGAACAGGGGTCTTAAAATGTTTATTCTTTAGGGCTTTTGGGGGGAGGGGGAAAAGGGCAATGGTACATTTATACAGTTCTGAAATTAGCCACTATTTCAAATCTCTTCCTGCCACAAAATGAATAACTGTTCTAGTGCTTCTCCTCATTATACTCTCTATTCTGACTTTGTTTAGCTCTTTATTAATTTCATTCTACTGAGTGTTAGTAGCTGAAGAAGAATTTCATTCCAAGGAGCTTTGCTAAAACAAAGCTTCAGACATAACGGCATCCCTTTTCTTGATTAAAAAAAAATCCATATTGCAGAACTTTTAACACATCTGATATTCAGGCATGCTCAGATGTATTCATCTTGGTCTTTGGCAACACTGATTGCTGAGCAGCTTGTCTCATAATGTGCCTGGTGTGCTCTATTCCCAACATAATTTTTTAAATTTGACATTTGAGATAATCAGCTGAGTTCAGCCCAACTGTGAATATGAGGACAAGATGCAGTTTGAAACTAAAGATTTTTTTTTTCAATTTAAGTCGTTTTAACTTGCATTTCTTATAAAGAAAAAAAAGGACTGGAATTGGGGTGGGAAATGGTATAACATTTATTAATTAAATGAAAATGAAAATAAAACTAAGCATGCTGACATTTGGAACTAAAAAACAACCAGCAAAGTCACCACGTTCAGACTCATATTGGCTAGTTCTATCTATCCCAGCATTCTCTTGGGACAGCAGTTTTGCCCTAGGCTCTACCACAAGCTCAGTGAAGTACACAGCCTCAATTACTAGAGCGTGCAGCCACAACGACCTGCTATTACATAAACAGTCAGTCACCACTGGAGTTAACATTCCAAATCTTAAACAATTCCCAGGTACCCCCAAATAAAAAAGAAATCTCCCACCCTAGCCCTGTCCCACACCATGAATGTTAATAATTATAACAAGCAGTAACCCATCTGTTATTATCAGAGAAGGGAACAGAGACTCCACTGAGAGATTTTGAGCAAGATGTTAACATTTCTCAGCTGACTGCACAATAAACAACAAAATAGGAAAGGAAAGGAAAAATAATAATTAATTGGAAAAATGAAGCTAAAATTAGCTGATGTGTATTTTGGGGTAAGCAGGCACTGATACAGATGTGAAATTATTTAGAAAAATGGATGCTCTGTGTATATACATATATAAATGATCATATCTATGTGATGAAGCTTGAGTGTTTTTTGGATCTGTATGCAAGACATGTAACTGGGACAAAGAGGAGCTGTAGAAATATCTTAACTAACTGTGAAAATGACTTCCAGTTAGCTAAGATAGTTAGGTTTTAGCCTGAAGCTAAACTACTTGCAAACAACCATGCCAGCTGGGTCGCCTATTCCTTCTTTTTCTATGCATCCCACTTTATCTTTTTGCTGTTTGGCCCCCACAACCAAACATGGATGCAAAGGGAGCAGAAATACACTGGTATAGAATAAGTCCTTATCCTATTCCCCCCCTCCTCCATATATGTGTGTGAGAGAGGAGCATGTAATAATATGAGGTGGTTAAGAAAACATAAAATAACTACTCCCAATCATCGGCAATTATCCGTTCCTGGCACATGGGATTAGTCAATTAACCAAAGGGAGCAACTGACATCAGCATGATGTCATCTGAACATGTTCATTAGATCTACATTACATAAAATCAAGAAATAGAATCAAAAACACATTCCTAACAAAAGAACATTGGCATTTAATTGTATCGGTAGACGATGCCTGCTTGAAAAATTAGCAGATCAACTTCAACTAGGGTAAGAAAAAGCATAATGTGTACACATTTTCCCCCAATTTGCATAAGCTTACTCCAGAAAAGGTTTTTGAAATGTGAAATTTTAGGGACTCCTAATTTGCCCTGTCAATGTATTTAAAACGTCATGGAATAAGTCCAAGCTACTTACAATATCCACAGTTCCTGCCGCTTTGGCAGAAGGAAGTTGCCTACTAACTCACTTTTTTTTTCTCCCCTTCCATCTGTTTTGTAGTTCTCTGCACCCAATCAAATATTATTTAATTCACTACCGAATATTCCAGAATTTAGCAAACTTCTGTTAATCAGTAAAAGACACAGATCATGACCAGTTATTTCATATTTATCTGTATCTGGACAATAAAAACCTATGTTTCAAATCACATAATCTTTGTGATAAGTATGCCAATTTTTTAATTATTTAGACTGAGTTTTTCATTTTTCACCTTGAGTGGAATACCTTAAGAAGGCATCATTAAGCATGTGATGACAGATTCTTTTGTCCTATAGGTAAGGCAACCCTGAGGCTCTGTTGCAAATAGAAAGGAGGAAGAGGTTGCTATAACATGACAGTGATCAAGTTATCAGAAATAGCCAGATAAATGGAAGTGCCCTTCACTGCACAGTGTCTATTTCAATGTGGGGCAATAGATTAGAACAAGGACTGTCCAAGTGCCGCTTTTAGTCACAGGGAAGATGGAGATTAGTTTCATTCATTCTGTCAGGAATTCATTTAAGCTTGATATGTCTCAAGTGCTGCTATAAGCATCTATTATTAACCTTTCCCCCATCATATGTAAACTTGAAGAGATCTACAATATGCAACAGGCTTCCTGTTTGTATTCTCAGCACAATGTTAAACAAGTACCGAAATGAAATCTATTGCTCTTCACAGGTCTTAAGTCAATGGAAATAGCAGGTATCAAGGTAAACTGTAAACAAAAACACACCAAAACACATCT